GGATAGAGAACTTCTTCTGAAAAAATAAAAGTCAACATTTAGAAGATAACATCATGTATCAATAGCAAGGACATGACATGCTAGAATGCTGGAGGATTAGCAAAAAGTTGCAGAACCAATATCTGACAGAGGTGGTGTTGCCCAGATATCTGGGAAAGAAAATGTTGACTGAGTTTGAGACGTAGCACTCACTGAAGAGTGCACTTCAAAAATTCAAAGAAAGCCTTTACAAAAGCAAAAGAATCTGGGTAGCTTCACCATCCCCGTGCTAATTGGTAAAGTTGATGTAAGCAGAGCTCTATAAGGTTTATGTGCAAGTATAAATCTGATTTCATTATCATTATTTAAGCAATTAGGCTTGGGGGCTCTACGACCTAGCACAATCATATCACAGTCAGTAGATAGGTCTTTGGCTTATCCAGAAAGAGTGATTGAGGATGTGTTGCTATAGATTGAATAGTTTATCTTAGCTTCCCAACGAATTTTATTAGTCTAGACTATGAGGCTGATGAGCAAGTTCATATCATTTTCGAATGTCCTCTCTTGGCTATTGGAGATGGAACCATCAAGGTTAGGGAAGTAAAACTGATCATGAGAGTGGACAACAGAAGGCAGCCTTCAATGTATACCGAGTGATTCAGTTGTCTTGTCATTACGAGGACCTTGCTATGATCTCTATACTGGAAGTAGATGATCCACTTTTGGGTTCAAGAGTCTATCTAGACGATTCTCTAGAGAAAACATTTATGTTGTTGGACAGTTTAGAACTTGATAAGGAGGTTGATGAGATGATGCATTCTCCAGATGCATCATGTGAATACATCAGAGAAGAACCCCAATTTAAAGGATAATGTGATGTCCAAACAAGTAGTTCCAATGTCCAGTAGACAACTTAGACTGGTGATCTTTTCAGATCAATAGATAACAGGGTGAAGCCATATAGACATGCTGTCCATGACATTTATGAAAATAGATTCGTAATATAAGTCCATCTTTCTAGTTGAAATCCAATTGAAAGTATATCTACCAACATTTACACAGGCAGGTATTTTGGTAATAGCATGTCAGTCACCAATATGTCTGGCACAAATACATGCCTAACAGAAACGAAAAGGGGAAAATGGTCTGGCAGAAATCATAGAATAGAACAGACAATTTCTTATATGCAACAAATAAACTGCATTGTTATGTGTTGTATTACTAAGCTCAAGAAATTTTTAGAAGAGAGCTTCAATAGCAATGAATGCAATATTTGAATCTTCCCCCTGCTATAAGGAAAGTATCAGAAGCAAATCATCAGATGAGAGCAGAAAGTATAGACAGCTTAGTGTGATCTTTTACATAAATAGATAGCAGGGTGAAGTGCAGGTGAGGATCTTGACTCACTAGCAGTATCGACCAAGAGCAAATTAAACCTTATTGCTCCAGTTTTTATACCTAGAAATTCTCCAACTAGAAGCTTAAATCAAGCTACAGCAACATCTACAAGGCAGACCATTCCAGCTGCAAGTAATGCAGGTGCTCGAGAAGTCACAACACCAAATCTGGGCAGCTGGTGACCACAAATCCAGTTTATTCAGAGGAGGAGAGAAAGATTTTGGATGCAATGGTAAGTTCCACGCCTATAAATCCTACTACGCTTATCACAGGTCCTATAAGTAAGAGCAAGAACAAATTGCAAAGCATAGGACAACAACAAAGTAAGGTAGTGATGACAATGTTATTGATCCAGGGGAAACAAGTATAGATGATAATACTAATAATAATTACATACCCTCACAAAATCCACTAATTTCTTCTTTTCCTCTTTGTCAAAATTTCTCCAATCATCTAAATGAAGAGGTGTTAGCTCTGGTGTTCTGGCAACAATTCCTAGAAAGCTAGCAAGCTTTCGACCTTCTTTCCCAATAGCTTGGTTACGATTATTAAACGGCACATCAACTGTCTTCCCCGGCGGAAGTTTCCAAATATCTTTTAGTAAAGTAGGCCCACGAACCTTTCTTGGCTCCGAATTACCTAGAATGTAAGACTCGAAGGTCATCAAATGACAAAAACTTATATGGACAAGCACTTGAGAGATGCTCTGAAATCTTAAATAACAGTATCATGATAAAATAACAGAAAGCAAAAAAATATATGTTTCAATGGACAATGCCAGCTCTAGCAAGAAGTGGTGTTGGAATTCAATGTTGCACCTAACTAGTGGACCACCAGAAGATCATAATCAAGTAACTTTGTTTCTAAACCTCGACGTTTTTCAGGTGGCAGACTCAAATTATAAAAGAAAGGCCTTTTGTAGTTTTTTGAGAAATATAACTTTGAAAAAGAAAGAATTAGATACTCTTAAGTGTCCAACAAAGTGTCAACAGCACAGGATGTACAAACAATGGAACTTTTCACTTACAGTAAAAACAACTGTACCATCCAACAATTCTTAGAACAAACAGATGGCTAGGGAAGCATAACTAGTTATACAATATAAACTAGTTAGGGTAACCAAAATTTTCACATAACTATGATTTGAAAACAATCACAAAGAAAAGTATTACCTGATTCATCATCATTATGTTGATGCTCAGTGCCACCAGCAGAACTATTCAACTCATTAGATCGATCATCATGTGCTTGATCTTCAGAGAAGTTCCGATTATCCATCAACTGCTCAATATAAGGTTGGATTGCAAAGTGGTTTTGACCGTCCATCAAATGCTTAATAAAAGGCTGCGCATCTTCATCATCATCTTGTTCAATTATCAATCGATTGCGACCTCTAGTTCGCATAGTTCCTTCTCCAAAATGAATAAATTATTTAGATGTATTAAGTTATACTAGTACCAATTAACTCCAACAGATCAGTAGATCAAATGTAAAATAGGAGGAAGCATCAGCCTAATTTAGAGATAAGAGTTATTGATGCATTAGGAAAAACAATTATCAGTGATAATACCACCTTAGAATATAACAATTAAATAGATACATAAGCAAAATATAAGTAAAAAATAGCATAACAAATCAAATCAAACACCAATATTCAAATTTCTGAATTAAAAAAATATCAAAACCTTAGAAGTTCTTAAATAACACTTGCAAGAAAAATATTCTATAAGTTTCACCTATTCTATTTAGAATCACATTCGTTTTCAATGTCATTTCCTCCCTCAACATTAGCTTCACCGTCATTTTCAATATCAATTACTATCCCATCGACACCACTTCTTACCCAATCATTGTACTCATCTTCCATAACACGAGCATTTTCTAAAAGAGCCACGTCAGTGGCATCACTTTGCATTGATGACTCAAACTGCACACTATTTTCCTCTCCCATATTAAAAATATCTCAAGGTTTAATTAACCTAGGGACAAACCATTCATGATCTTCAGGATCTTGTACAAATATAACTTGTTGAGCTTGTTCTGCAAAAATAAAGGGCTCATGAAGTTCTCGATCGCCAGAGTCTGTTAGGCGTGAGAAATTCACAAGTGTGAACCCCAAGTCATCTTCCTTAACACCTCTACCTTTGGTTACATCAACCCAATCACACTTAAATAAGACGACTTTAAATTCTTCGTAGTAATTTAACTCCACAATATCATTCAATCTGCCATAATATGTGATATTTGCAGACTTTGGAGCATTGCCACTTGTACTTGCATAACTTTCAGTCTTTGAAACGACCATAACACCACTATTTTGTGTCACCTTAAATTCTTCACTTTGTTTCGTTCGGAATCGATACCCGTTATTTACATCGAATGCACTGAATCTTTTTCCAATGTAACTCGGCCCTTGTGCAAGGACTTTAACATCCTTTAAGATGTTAGATGTGGCTTCCAACTCCTTTACCTAACCAAATAAAAGATACAACTATAAAATATGGATATATGTACAAGGAAAATAATTTAACGTAACTATCGACTTAGTCCTATTACTTACTTGCTCCTTGAACCACTCATGAAATGTATCGACTTAGTCCTATTACTTACTTGCTCCTTGAACCACTCATGAAATGTATCGAAATGCACACAATCAAGTTGATGTTGTGTCAAACGACGCTTACGATGTGATCTCTTGATTTCAGCAATATGTTCCCTATTCATGTAACTCGAATATATCAATTTTGTTATCAAATAAGTAATATACATATATTAAATAATATATATTACACTTACTTTTTATAATTCTCAACCACCTCTGACTCGCAATTGAAAAGCACATGCCGATGTGCTTGCAACCATGTTTTTGCATCCAACTCAAATACATCTACTCCACCGTACGACTCCCCACTATTTGGAAAAAGACATTCTTCTTTACTAGTCTCCTGCCCAATCTCATTGGCGCATTTTCTTGAACAATAAGCCCTTGAATCTCCACCCTCCAAATATCGTGAGCAAAATGCCATACACTCATTTGCTATGTATGCTTCTGCTATGGAACCTTCTGGACATGCACAATTACGAACATATAATTTTAAAGTACCCAAATACCTATGGAGTAAAATAATGGTATTAGTTTGATATTATAATATTTAATAACTAAAAATATATAATAAAGATTTGGTGATATTCTTAATACCTCTCAATAGGGTACATGGCCCCGCATGTTTAGCCTCAGTTGCCAAGTGAATAACCAAGTGTATCATAACAGTAAAGAATCCTGGGAGGAAAAGTTTCTCCATAGTAGATAATGTTTCTGGAATTTTTTCTTCAAGTAACTTTAACTCTTCTAATTTTAGTTCTTTGCTACATAGAACACGAAAGAATGTGCATAATTAAATTAAGATGGACCTAACTCTTTTATCTACTGATCTCCGCAAGGCAAGAGGAAGAAGTTCTTGCATTATAACTTGACAATCATGAGTTTTTAGCCCAAATATCTTTCGTTTGCGAATGCAACGTGAGATATTAGACGCATAGCCATCTGGAAACTTGGCATTTTGTAGTACTTCATAAAATAACTCTTTTTCCTTCTGAGACATTGTGAAGAAAGTAGGAGGAAGCTATGCTTTCCCACTAGCTCGATATTGAGGCCATAAACTTGGTCTTATTTTCATCTCCTTCAAATCCAATCGAGCTTCTAAGTTGTCTTTTGACTTTTTACCAAGATCCAATAATGTATAAAGTAAGTTATCACACACATTCTTTTCTATGTGCATCACATCAAGATTATGGCGCACCAAGTTAGACTTCCAATAAGGAAGATTGAAGAAAATACTCCTCTTTTTCCATGTATTTTTCATCACACCACTTACCCCTTCACTCGACTGGCCGAGAGTAAATTTTATATCTTTAACTTGATTCAACAGTAGTGACCCGGATACTGGACAAGGTGCAGGTCTTGTTTCTTTAGTCCCATGAAACGATTTTGCATCATTTCGATATTTGTGTCCCGACTTCAAGAAGCGTCGATGCCCCATATAACAAAACTTTCTACCATGTTTGAGCCGTCTAGATTGAGTATTTATGTTACAAGAAGGGCAGGCAAACCGACCATAAGTGGACCATCCAGAGAGATTACCATATGCTGGAAAATCATTTATAGTCCACATGAGAGCAGCTCGCATTTGAAATATCTCCTTAGTCGAGGCATCATATGTTTCTACCCCGACATCCCACAATTCATTTAACTCTTCGATTAAAGGTTGCAAAAAGACATCAATATTATTGCCAGGTGCTTTTGGTCCAGGAATAAGTAAGGACAGTATGAAGAACTCTTGTTTCATGCACATCCATGGTGGAAGATTATATGGCATTAAAATCACTGGCCATGTACTGTGAACAGTTCGCATTGTGCCAAATGGATTAAATCCATCAGAAGCTAATCCTAGGCGCACATTGCGAGGATCTCCAGCAAATTCGGGATATTTACTATCAAAATTTTTCCAAGCCTCAGAATCTGCAGGATGTCGTAAAACTCCATCTTTGGTGCGCTCATCATGATGCCATCGCATTTCTTTAGAAATTTCTGAAGACATAAACAATCTCTGTAGCCTTGGTTTTAAAGGAAAATACCTTAAGACCTTGGCTGGAATTTTTCTGGCATCATTTTTCCATCTAGAAGCCCCACATATTTTGCATTCATTGACATTCTTATTAGCAAACTCTTTCCTAAAAAGCATGCAATCGTTGGGACAAGCATGGATTTTTTCATACTTTAAGCCCAAGCCTTCAACTATCTTTTTGGTCTCATAGAAAGAAGGAGGTAATTTTTCTCCTTCAGGCAGCGCATCTTTCAATAGTCCAAGAAAAGAATTAAAAGATTCATTTGACCACTTGAACATGCATTTTGTACGATACAAATGCAGCAAAAAAGAGAGTTTGCTAAACTTCTTACATCCGGGATATAATTCTTCATTTGCCTCCTTCATGAGCCATTCAAACTTATCCACCTCTAGATGAGGTTGATTTCCAAATGGATGAGCAGTATTCTCTTGTAAGTCTTGCTCCATGCCACCTAATTCACTAACGTCAGTATCCATGAACTGTGTAACACCTGCAAATGCATCATGTATCATTCCTCTCATATCATCGCCACTTTGAGTTGACTGACTGCGATTATTTTCTTCAGCATTGTTTGATCCCTTTAGAGACTCACCATAACAATACCAAGTATCATATGATGGTATAATATCATTAACCACAAGATGATCATATGTTGTAGCCCGATTTACTTGATGGATAAGCACACACTCCGTACAAGGACATGCAATTTTTTCTCCATATTGTTTTTCAGAAAAGGCATGATTTAAAAAATCCTCTACTCCATCCAAATATTCTTTACTAACTCTTTCACAATACATCCATCTTTTATTTGTAGGATTGTCCATGACGTTCAAGATAGTCTTTTCTTTTCTATAATTACTGAAAGAGCTAAAAATGTGTTAGTAAAAGGTGGAATTAATGAAAAATATAGTTAAAATAAAATAACCATCCTATTAGCAGGTAATTCCATGGCTCAAAAATATCTTTTTAACAATTAAAACTATTAAACGGAAATTTATTAAAATTATCATTTAAACAATTAAAACTATCAAACAGTTAAACTATCTCTAATTTCTTCTATATTTTTCACATATTGGTTCATTAAATTTTCTAGAATAGAATTATTAAACTTATAATTTATAGAAGAACCATATGTCATATATTTTAAAACTTTCAAAACTTACTACTCCTATTTGTTAACTCTCAAGGTGACAAAGGTGACATGGTAGTTTCCTAGCATAAAGTGGATCAAAGTAAATAAAGATGGAACATATCGAGGAAAACCAGGAAGAAGTTCCATAGGTTTTGTGTTGAGGGATGAAGAAGGAGATGTACATTATGCAAGAGGGAAGGAAATACATGAGACAACAAACAATGAGGCAGAGGCATTGGCTATCTAGAGAAGAGGTCTCCATTTATGCAGTAGATTCTCTTTATGCGAGGAACAACCAGAGGATTTCAATCTTCTATTTTGCCTGCAAAGTCACCACTCAAATCTGGAGTCTTTTCCTAAATATCCTGGGAACTAGTTGGTCAATGCCTAACTCAATGATAGAGTTTCTAAAATGTTGGAGGAGAAGAGGTCTCAACAAAAATGCAAGTAACATATCCTATTAAAAAAAATGCAAGTAACATTTAGAACACTATTCCACAGGCTGTATAGTGTGGGTTTTATGATTTTTCTTCTAAAAGAACTAGGATTAAGGAGTTTCTGAAGAGCACAGGTCATTCCAACTTAAGTTAAAACATAGTTCACCTGCATTTCGGTTCAAGTCAACATTCAAGATATCTCTTAATCAGTTACAAACTTTTACCTACATTTCGGTTCCTGAATTATGTTTGGATATATGCAACAGTAGCTGCATTTCAAGATATGTCTTAATCAGTTACAAACTTTTGGGAGCTAATAACACCTGCAGAAATATTATCTTAATCAGCAAATGTCTAATTTGAAGCGAATGTCTCCGGAAACACCAGCGAATGTCTTAATCAGCTCTGACATTCGCTGGAACAAACTCCATTATGGACTCAAACTCTGCAGCACCATACTAGCAACTCAGAAGATCAGTTCACACTTTATAGGTACTAAAACACAATACACACACTTGTGAAGCATAAGGTTCTCCGGAAAATTATTCCAGCTCTGACATTCACTGGAAAAAACTCCATCATGGACTCAAACTCTGCAGCACCATACTAGCAACTCAGAAGATCAATTCATGTAGTTTTCCTCAAAAACTCGTTTTAGTTTTAATTAGTTTTCATTATAGTCTCATTGACTTAGCTTTTTGTGTAACAGGGAATGTGCAAAGAAATTGGTTAGCTATCACTTGGGTGCTGCAGAAAGTAAGTTGAAAGCAATATACAGGAAGTTTTCGAGTCCAGATAGAGGTGTTGTTGCATTCTTCCCAGGTACTTTATCATATATGCAGCAGGAGATGGTTAATTTTGGACAATAGCCAAATGCAGATTCACAATACTAGTGTCAAATATGAGGCTAAGCTAGTTAAGGGCTCAATTGATTTCATAGGCCTAAACCACTATACAACAGCATCTGTTAAGGACAGGTCTTCCAGCATTAAAAAGAATACCAGGGACTTTGGTGCTGACATAGAAGCAGATATCTCACTTGAGGCAGTGGCAGCAGATCAGTATCCAGTGATTCCTTCTGGTCTTTATGAATTTCCGGAGTACTTAAAAGAGGCTTATGGCAACCCACCGATTTACATTCAGGAAAATGGTCAAAAGACTAGTGTCCAAGGATCAAATCTGGACAATAGCCAAATGCAGATTCACAATACTAGTGTCCAAGGATCAAATCACGTAAAGAGGCTAGTCATAAACATAGTGATCAAGCACATAATGGAGTTCAAATACTACCTAGGAGAGATGACTACAAGAATAGGAATTGGCAAAATTTCAGCCAAATTTCTGTTACTTCATCAGGCAATAGGCTGGTTTTGGAAACGATTTCCAGGTCATGTAGCTACATCTACAATTAGGGACATGCCTTCATGTATCTGCTGATACATCAAGATTACAAGTAGAAAATGTGTACAAAACTGGAGGAGGCCAAGTACTACACCTACAACAAATGCTATGCTCAAATGCCTACATGATACCTGCTCTGCTTCTATGCCTTTTCCTTCAATATATGCAGTAGGGTGGACACACTATGGGACAGATCATGATCTACATTATGCACGGAAGACAGAGTTACTGGGCAATGAGTTATACAGATGCTATCATGGCATGCTTAGTGCTAGTTTTTATTCAAGAACCTTACTACATTCTTAAATTTCTTTATCATTGGTTAATTAGTTCAGAATGTACTATCAGGATTGAGTATTCCTTGCTCGGTTCTGGTAATAGGGGCTATGTAATTACCTTAGCATATGACTTTACATCTTGTAAGACACTACACTACTTTTGTTTGTTTTGCTTTAGAATAAACAGATTCTTACAAAGAATCATGTCCGCTGACTAAAATAATTCAGATGAGTAGGAAGGGCAGGGTTCAAGAAAGAATTAAAAAGGCAGAAAATAGAGAGGCCACAACCCAGAATCTTATTAGCTTTGTTCCGCCTAGCAGTAGCCTTAGAAAAAATACAGAGGAACCAATTCAAAGACAAGAAAACAGAAATTGTAAACACAAAAAGGCAACAGATATAACAAACAACTATCAATCAGAGAAAACAACAAAAACGCAGCAAACAAACAAAAAATAATAGAGTAACAGGGGAAGAATCAATTCAATCAATCGACTATCAATCTAACAGCAAGAAGGGAGATATCACAAACAACTTAGCAAACACAAAAAAAGCTATACTTTGATAGCGACGATTGAGCATATTCGAGCAGCATCAACCCAAAATCAACTCAAATCGCGACTCGCATATGCGGAAAAAATTGTACTTTCGCAAATCTCAAATCGCAACAGTTGAAGGCACGAATTTGTACCTGGTAGCAGATTGTTTTGCTAATAAACACAAGAAATTGAAATCTGAATTCTGCAACGATCTTGAAACCTACAGGAAAAGAGAAGTGGAAACGGATAAAATAGAAAATACTAACAACGACGATAGAGCATAATCGAGCAGCACAATCCTAACTCCACTGTTAATTGCATCTGCTGGGTGAAAAAACGAAAATACCTGGGGAAGAAGAGCAGTTATCTGGGGAAGAAGCTGGCCGGAGACCTTCGATTCTGTTAATCTGGCCGGCGATTCTACGATTCTGTGATTCTGCGATTCTGGCTGGGGAAGAATAATAGTTATCCCGTTCAATGAAACGATAAAAACTCGCCAGACCTATATGTAGACTCTGTAAATTGTATTCTGTTCGATGACGGAAAATCGATATGTGAGATTCCTATCCTATTCGATAAAGGAAAATCGTATCCCGTTGAGAATAGGTTTTCCTATTTTTTCTGATTGGAGGGAATCGATCGATTATTTTTTGTGCAAATTGGAGGGAATCGATTGATTATTTTTTGTGCAAACTGGAGGGAATCGATCGATTATTTTTTGTGCAAAATAATTTGGAGGGAACGATTTATTTGGCAGGGAGGGAAAGTTTTTTTTAAAAAAAAAAAGAAATACCTATATGCGCGGTTAGTCAATTAATTGTTTTTAATGGCAATTTATTTTAATTGCCGGTAAAAGGTTATTTTTTAGTGGCCAATGGTCATTTGCCGCATATATTTTAGCTTATAGAATATATTAGCGGCAATTGACTTATTGCCGCTAAATAATTACCGCCAAATGCCCTTTTTGTAGTAGTGTGCGAACGCCAGCAGCTACGTATAGTCTCCTCGAAGATCCGCCTAAAGCTGGGATAAGTCAGCACTCGGGAGCGGGACCTGCTACGTCTGAATCTGCACATACGGTGCAGGGAGTAATGTGAGTACTCCGACCCAGCGAGTAATAAATATAAATAATGGTTGAAAGCAAGAAAACACGTGAAAACACAAAGCATTCTATACCGAAGCAGTAAAATCACTTAAATACAGTAAATCAGTAAAATATCAAGTAAAATTCCTTTTCAACAAGTAAAGCAAGTGATTTGGCAGGGAAATAACAAATAGAAATCCGCCCCTCGGGCAACAACTCAAAACAATACCAGCCCCTCGGGCTCACTCTCAGAACAACATCAGCCCCTCGGGCTCACTCTCAGATCACAATGGGTACCTGCGCTCACTGGGGGTGTACAGACTCCAGGAGGGGCCCCTTACGGCCCAAGCGCAATATCAAGCCATCTCATGGCATCAAATCTCAGCTCTCGGCCTCACATCACTCAAGCCACCTCGTGGCATATATATGTATCTCAAGCCCTCGGCCTCATATCACTCAGTGTATCCTCACATCTGGCCCTCGGCCGCACTCAGTCCGAAAATCATCACAAGCCCATCGGGCATTAGTAAAACAATAGTTCTCAGCCCAAAACATCATTTGAAAATATCATTTAAGTCCCAAAACTGAGTAAAAGCGGCTGAGTTGTAATATAGTGGAGAACAGCATGACTGAGTTCAAGTAATAAGTCGATACAGTGAGGAAATAGTGATAAAAATCCCCGAAGGGTTCAAATAGTTGGCACGAAGCCCAAATATGGCAATCAGCCTAAGTCATGATGTTAACAAATAAATTTCAGTCAAACACGCGGTAAAATCATCAATCGGGACAGACCAAGTCGCAATCCCCAATAGTAAACGACCCCACGCTCATCATCGAGCGCGTGTCTCACCTTAATATAGCACTACGATGTGCAATCCGGGGTTTCAAACCCTCAGAACATCATTTACAATCATTACTCACCTCGAACCGGCTAAACCTCTAGCTCGCGACGC